ATTGTACATGATGTATGTTACCCTGCACTGTAGGCAAATTGTCATTAATTGCAAAGCCCATTTTGATGCTTTGAGCTTCACTGAAGGTATGCACACCCTTGAAATAATCTTGATGCATTGCATCAGGTTGTTAACATTTTGGTAAGTTCTCATTCACAGTGCAGACGCTTTATAGAACAACTTGTTTCCCTGAGGTCAACAAGCCTACCAAACATCTAGTTTTTAGGTGACAATATGGTCAGTTCTGCGAATCTGGAGCAGTGGAGAATGTTCATGATGCTTTTACAAAACATTCAGTAATTGTCTGCCTTTAATTGGATAATTTGGCTTAAGCATGAAGCAGTACTTCCAGACACACCAACATTCAAGGTAATATTTTTGATATTTGTGGCCATGCTAGCCATAACATACAAGAAAGTCAGCTGAAGCAAAATAGCACAACAATGGGGGGTAGCCATATTATGCTGTGTGTATTAATGTTGCTATAAGGTTTTTGAAATAAAGTGCAGAAAGACATAGAGCTCTTTGGTAGAAATGCATCCCTTTAAGCATCAGAAACAACATTTATTTCAATATCCTACACAGCTGATTCATGACTCCTAAGGAAAGGGGAAGTGAGTTCTGGATCTTCCACCCATAAAATGCTATTTAGTACCTTCAGTTATTTGGTCTGTAGCATTCTAGTCTGGCTGGCCACAGTGTGTGGTGGAACCACAATGGGATGCCAGTGTCACATCATGCCAAACTGGTCTGCTGATTACTCTTTTGCACTTGCCAACCCAGTTGTTAACTGGGTGAAGGGGTATCCAAATTTGGAATTGGCCAATGTTTTGACAAGTTAAAACACATTTAAGTTTGCATAAGTTTTAGTCTGAAGACAGTTAACCTTTCTGGGCTAGAACTGGGAATCAGTTGGCTCAAAAATACACGTGGTTAACAACGGATGCTCACTTGGTGGCTGCAGGCATGTCACAGAGCAATTGCAATGTGCAGTGCCATATATTTGGTGACTATCAAGCCATCACTGTCAGCCTGCCTCTCTGCCTGCAGGCGTTCATCTCTGAGCTGCCGTCGGACTTCCTGTGCCCGGATGGCGAGCCGGCGGCACCGGCGGGTGGTCCGGCCGCGCCCGGCGCCGGCTCCCAGCAGGAGGAGATGGACCGGCAGGCGGCGCTGGCACTGCAGCGCCACTACAGCCGACGCGCGCCCACCATGCAGACAGCCGCCGGCCGGCTCAACCTCACCATCGCGCAGGTGTGACGGCCCCCTGGCGCGTGCGCCGCTAGGAGTGCGGTGTGGACGCTGTCAGGCATGGCGGGCGTTCTCGCCATTGGCCAGACATGGGGCCAAACATGCTGTTTCATATGGACGAATGAGCCTTGTCTTTGCACAGGTTCGGAGGTGAACATCGCCATTGCTGGGGTAGGAAGGGGCCGCCGTCATTGCACAGTCACAAGTACGGGCATGGGCGTTACGGTTGCACAGCCATAGGGCTGAACTCGGCGTGGCGGGCCGTGTGTGAAGGGTGGCCTCCCCAGAGCGGTGACGTCATCACCGCACAGGCATGTGTCAGGCGACCTTGCCGTGACGGGTGGACCGATGAGGCGGTCACGCAGCAGGCATGATGGACCACTGTGGTACGGTGCGCCAGCCTGAAGCTGTCATTCGCTGCCGGTCGCAGTGGAGTGGGCGGCACTCGAGCTTCCCGTTACGTGACACACGACGACACGCGAGACACGTGGCAGTAATTACTTTGCAATGCGGCAGTGAGAAGACGCTACTGTTCACACACGTCTGTCCACTCTGTCCCTCGCGCTGTGCCATAAGTCGACAGGTGGACCGTTCTGAATGGAATGTGGGTAGGGGTCAGATGCGGACGCCAGAGGATGTAGTGCGACTGAACGGGTCCTCTCTACTTCCCAATGCTCCTCTCCACCACCCAATAACTTCCCATCGTCCAGCCCCGTATGCTCCTCCCCACCACCTAGCACATCTCCCCACCATCCAACGCTCCTCTCCACCATCCAGCACATCTCACCACCACCACCCAACACTCCTTCCCAGCATCAACATTCCTCCCCACTATCCACCCAGCATTCCTCCCACCATCGACACTCCTCCCCACCACCCAACACTCCTCCCCACCATCCAACACTCCTCCCCACCATCCAACGCTCCTTCCCACCATCCAACATTCCACCCCAGCGCCCAACACTCCTGCCCACCACCCAGCATTCCTTCCACCATCAACACTTCTCCCCATCCCCCAACACTCCTCTCCACCCCCCAACTCTCCTGCCCACCACCCAACACTCCTCCCCACCATCCAACACTCCTTCCTGCCATCCAGCACTCCCCCACCCCACCCCCCAGCATTCCTCCCACCATCAACACTCCCCCCCACCACCCAACACTCCTCTCCACCACCAAACACTCCTGCCCACCACCCAACACTCCTCCCCACCACCCAACACTCCTCCCCACCACCCCGCCACGGCCACCCGACGCAGTCCCCGCCACCGCCCACAGCTTCAGGCCAGCCGGCACGGCCGGCGCTGACGGCGTGCTGACGGCGGCGGTTGTCCTCAGGCTAAGCTGACCAAGAACTACGGCTTGACGCGGATGGACCCGTACGTGCGGTTGCGGCTGGGCCACTGCGTGTACGAGACGCAGACCTGCTACAACGGCGCCACCAACCCCCGCTGGAACAAGGCCGTCATGTGGTGAGTGTGGCGTGTGCCGCCTGTGACGCGCCGTTTGGGTCTAAGGCTTCACAGCAGTTGTCCGGAAGAGAATTATTAAATAGAGAGAAAGGGAGAAACTGATGGGTGTGTCTGACATTACAGTGTGCCAGATCATGATCATGATCCCAGATGCAGCTGATGACCACACGCTGCTTACGACGCCGGCCAGACAGATGTTCCGCGGGCTGGTGCCTGCACACACGGTCTCTGGCGCCATCATGCACGATGCAGGCTAACTCACGTTTGGTGGGTCTGGGATGCCAACGATGGGGGCTCTGCTTTCTACGTCGGCCTGGATTGAGACGCGACTCCGCCTCTGGAGGATCGTCCCGCGGAATCTACTCGTCTGGGGCGCCCCTCCCCCCCCCCCCATGAAGGGACATTTCCTCCTGGGATCGGCCGCAGTCCTCCCAGTATCAACATGGAGCTACTGATCGCAGTGCCATAGACAGATGCCGGTTCCCAATGCGCGCTGGCACCATCCGGCCAGGGACTTGGTCTTTGGCCAAAAGAGGGCGGCTGCGCATTGCGGGAGCGAGACGATCCGCGGCGCGGTGCCGACTCGCGCATGGGAAAGACCCCAATTATGTGTTTCTCAGCTACGCCCAATAGAGGGCCTCGGGGCCTTGTTCCTCTTAGTCGACCGCCCCTCCCCCGCAAATGAGGTAGCAACCTGTGGCATCACAGGTAAGTGCGTCATATGCAGCTGTGAAGAATGTTAGCTATGCTCAAACACGGACAACAGTAGAAACAGTTGATTGGATCCATGGAGACATTTACAGCACAGCTATGGCGAACTGGGATATCATTTAAGTGGACAGTTTTTGACGGGTTATGTGGTCAAAAACATCATCGTCCATCACTCTACTCACGTGCGGTCGACAGCCGTACTTTTACCCGTCAACAACGACTCAAAACGCGTTGGCCGTGGCTAGGCATTGAGATATAAACAACCGCGACTTACCGCACACACTGCTTCTCGGCCAAGCAATGAAGGGGCTTCAGAAGTGACGTCAGAAGGAAGCCAAGTAACGACGTCGAGGGTCGAATGGACTTACTTCAAGTCGTGAACGGGCTTTCAATAGCCAATTTTGAACGGGTCCCTGGGGTGTGGCTCGAGCTGAAGGCGTACGGGGGCGGCTGGCGGGTCTGCTCTTGGAAGCACACGAGGCGTCACCGCTATCCTGCTATCACTGCGACCGGCCGGGACGTATCGCGCAAAAGGCAAGAGCAGGAGGTCGGCAAGAGCGTGCGCGCTGGGAATCGGCAGGTGACGGCAGCTCTTTCATCACGGAGTGACGGGTAGCCGGTGGCATGTTGTGCCTGTGTACAAAGTTTGGTGCTGCTACGAATACATTTGCTTATAAGCTCGCAAGGAGTGTCAAAATCACCACTGCGCACCCGTTAGGCACTCGACCTGCTGCCTGCGTTGTCCATAACGGCGGCCTTACCTCAGCCGGCGTCCCAGAGCCGCTGGTTCGTCCCTGTTGCCGCCGGCGGGCGGGCGGGCACGCAGCTTGTGCGGACGTGCTGCCTTGTCGGGCGGCTGGGGAGGCGGCGGCGGTGCACAAAGTGGGACCGGGGCGCGCGGTGCTCATGGCCCGGCTGGCGAGAGCGGCGGAATCCCGGCATTGTGGCGCAGCGTTATCCTGTGCCGCGATAAAAGGCTGGCGAGATGAAGGCGGCGCTTCGTGTCATGTTACAGGCTGCTGTGGGCATGTGTTAGCTGGCCACAGGGTCAGACACGTTGTTGCTTAGCGTAAGTGTGCGGGCCAAAATGTCGTCAGTTGCTTTGGTTTAAATGACATCGTCGTACGCGTGTAGCCGCTGCTTGTCTCCGGCCGTTATGAGATGGCGGGAATTTTCGCTATGTGTGTAGTCTGTGACGCATTTGTCACTATCTCCAAGCGCCGCGAGCAGCTTGCACAAAAACTGCAGTTTTTGGCGGCGCGACGTCCGGCCATTAATCTCGTTTACGCCGTAAGACGGCGCTTCTCAGATTTCTGGAGAGCCGTATCTCGATAACAGCACGCCGCGTAGGCGAGAAAGCTGGCGCAGCACTACGCCGCAGCTTAATGGCGGACGCTTGTACGCTGGCGCAGGCTCTAAGTGCTGGAGGCACCAGCGGTGTTCGTTGTCCATGTATCAACCCCGGCGTTCGGTCGTCGCTAAATAGTGCCCGCGTCGCGGTGACGTCACACGATGACGTCATGGGATGCCGGTTCATCCACCGCACGGTCGTCATCGGGACCCGTCGTCCGATGCCGCGCAAGGCCGTTGCGGCGTCTGAGCTCGCTCTATCACCCAGGGGCTGATCCTTCCTCCTCCGGCGACTGCCGCTGCCGTCGCCCCCACACACGCGCCCACGTGCCGCCGTCCGCTGCCGAACTGACGCCGCTGGCTGCCGCACTCGCGCTCGTCCGCGCGTGCCACCTCCCCCCCCCCCCCCCCCTTCCCTGTGGCCCGCAGTTCCCCTGTCTGGTGTGTTGACCCGCCTGCGGTGGTCCGATCGCGGGGAGCGGCGCTCTGTGTGCTGCGGGCGGCTCCGCCTGATCCCTTCGCAGGGAGCGGCGCCCTGCGTGCTGCGGGCGGGCTCCGCCTGATCCCTTCGCAGGGAGCGGCGCTCTGTGTGCTGCGGGCGGCTTCGCCTGATCCCTTCGCAGGGAGCGGCGCTCTGTGTGCTGCGGGCGGCTCCGCCTGAATCCCTTCGCAGGGAGCGGCGCTCTGTGTGCTGCGGGGCGGCTCCGCCTGATCCCTTCGCAGGGAGCGGCGCCCTGTGTGCTGCGGGCGGCTCCGCCTGATCCCTGCGCCGTCGCCGGGGAGATATTTCTGGTCACTGGCCACCGCTTGGACGGGCCGCGTCAATTACGCCGCACAACCTCGGCGGCGCGCCGCTCCTGTTCTTCTGGCGCGCTCACACGGCGGCCGTGGGCACGAACGGCACCAAGACTAACCGGCTGCTGTTCGTGGCCTCGCTGTGGGCTAGTCCTTCATCCGTGGAGTAATCCCCCTCTGTGGACATTCCCCCTCTGTGGAGTAGTCCCCCTCTGTGGGCTAGTCCCTCCTCCGTGGAGTAGTCCCCTCTGTAGAGTAGTCCCCCTCCTTTGAGTGCGCTCTGCGCGCCGAGGCGTCGTCCCAGTACCGAGCCCACTGACGTTCGCCGTCCCCGCGGGGACTCACATTACGTACAACCTCCCTCCCCATCTATCCCGAATCGCCGTTCATTTCCGTGCGTCGTAGCCCCCCCCCCCCCCCCCACACCCCAGAGGGTTTTACTGTGTCGACGCTCTCCTGTCGACTCGTTTGGTGTCCATCCTGCGTCTTTCCCCGAGTGTCATCCCGTGTCGGCCCTCTCTCAGGTTGGGCGGCTCGCCGCGGTGGTGGACGTGGCCCGTGTCTCTGTCGGCAGTTACGTACCCCACGGCGTTACATCCCTGCACCTGGAGGTGTACGACGAATGCTCCTTCACAACCGACGACCAGCTGGTGGCGCAGGCAACCATCCAGGTACGTGCCGGATCGGGCAACAATCCAGATGCGTGCCGGATCAGGCAGCCATCCGTATACGTGGCCTGACCAGGCAACCATCCAGGCAATTGCTGAACCAGGCAACCATCTAGGTACGTGTCTAGTGAGGTGTCTAGTCAGGTGTTGATCCAGGTACGTACCCGAGCAGACAGCCAGTCAGGTACTTGCCTGAGGACCTAACACGATTTCGTCACAGTTTCATTCGTTCTGAATGGTACTTATTGGCATTTTGATGAAAACGACAACGATCACAGCCTTTACCCGTTCACACTTTTACCCCGTTCACAACTCCCACCCATTCCTTGTGGACTAGGTAGAATCCGCTGCAGATTCTGCAGCCATCAGCTGCTGTGAACTAGATGTGTCATTATCAAACCGGCAGGCCCGCAAGTGCGGGTAAAAAGGAAATAGAAGCCCGAAAGTGGTACCCCCATTGGCCTCCCTGCTGGGGTTGCGTTGGACGCGGTTCGCTCGCAGACGCCCAATCGTGCGCGCGCGTCCCTGAGTGTCCGTTCTAGACGGCGTACCTCTATCGATATTCTGCATCTATGTTAGCTGCGGTTGTATAACATGCAGTCGTTTTTGGTCAAGGTGGGTACATTAAGCTTGCCAATTAAAGGTGTACCGTAGTGATTTTGATCTTCCATCGCGCCGACATCCTAGAGCTCGCATTTGTCGGTCTATGGGACACTTCACAGCTGTTCAGCGCGGCTTCGGTTCGCTGTCGCACCCTTGCGGTCGCTCTTGAGGTGCCAGGATTGGCCTGCGCTTGACAGGCTCAGCCCGGGCGACCTGATCCGGTATGTGCCAGGCTGCACGCGCTTATGGATCGCCAGCTGCGTTGGGTTCGGTGTGCCAAGGCTGCGCAGTACCTCTCCCCGCCACTGTTGCGGCACAGACGGAACGCACGACAGCGGCCTGCGTTTACCGATTTTATACCGATGACGTGGTTTCCTGGTCTACCCGCCTAGTTACCTTCCCTGTTTGCCTTCCTAGTTCCTTGTTACCTAGCGGACCCACGAAAGACCACTTGCATGTATTTCTAACAGTACTAATTTTACGAAGCTTCACTTGGGCCAGCCAATGCCGCTTTCGTCCTGGCTCTAGAATGTTTGACTTTCGAGATAACTCGGGGGCGTGGGCGGGACTGTGACTATGGACTGTGGGGTCATTGTGTGACGAGGCTAAGGGTATCACCAGCCCGGAAATAAGCAAACCTCTTGCCTTTC